GGGCCAATTTCTATGTTACTACAAGTTATTTCTACATTTAGACTGAGGACATATATTTGTAGAGCACAAAATATGGGTTTAAAACCACATGTGGTTTTTAGACATGAACTATCTTCCTCCAATTTATGAGATTTATTCTAAACTTTGCTTTGAGTTGATATGTAATTTAGAATGAGATGAACCTCGAGTTATTAGAGATGACTTCTAGTTGAAATCAAGTGCTTTTGTGTGAAAGAATAAATTCTTTTCAGTAAAAACTAGAGTTGAGTTGTAGTAATTTAACAGAAGGCTGGATTCTGGACTTAATTCTGGAAGGACGGAGAGAAGCAGAGAAGGCTGGATTCTGGGATAAAGAGAGAATGAGCATTGTTTGGAGAAAAAAAGGGGGATCTGATCTGGTGCTAGTGAAGGCTGAATTAGGACAAGGGGAAGAAAACAAGTAAGCAGCAAAGGGACAAGTTAGGGAGGAATACAAGGCTAGATGCAAGCAGAACAGAAGGACTGAAGGAGATGGAGCAACAGGGCAATGAACCGAGAGAATGGCAGGATGGAATGAGGATACAGAAAGAAAGAATGTTGGGAAATGTGTGAATGGAGCAAGAAGGGGCCAAGGAGCTGCTCCGATTTCTGTCAAAGTAAACAAGCAATTCTGACAATCTTTGCCCTTTTTACTTTCCTGCTGGAATTCAGAGCTTAGAAATATTTGGGAGAAAACTAGAGTATCAGAACATACGGTACCCCATTATGCAAAAATATCCCCATCCAGTAATGTGTTTTTGGCAGCACTAACCAATTTATCGTGCTTCAGAAGATTTACATTCAGGCAGAAGGAGAAGAGCAGCTTGTCTTTTTCAAAGAGCGAGCGGCAGATGTTGACGTAGAGGGAGTAAGTAAAGTGATCTCGGAGAAGCCTCAGTCTGAAAGTATAAAAAAAAAATAGGGAAGACCCAGCAATGTGGGAGCCACAAGTCTGAAGATCCGTACAATTTCAATTCTACAGGAACAATCTATTTTTTTCCCCAATTAGTACAATTTCAATTCTACAGGAACAATCTATTTTTTTCAATTAAATAGTTTATTTTTAAAACGTTGCACAAGGAACCCCACTAATCACGCAGAAGATACCCTTTAGAGCAGTGTTTCTCAACCTTGGCAACTTGAAGATGTCCGGACTTCAACTCTCAGAATTCCCCAGACAGCGAATGCTGTCTGGGGAATTCTGGGAGTTGAAGTCCGGACATCTTCAAGTTGCCAAGGTTGAGAAACACTGCTTTAGAGGGACTCAAAGTGACCTCTAATAGCCAACAACTTCCATGAACTGATTCGACCCTTTTCTAAAGACTGCCAAGCAGGTTGCATCACACCTCATGGTAATTCCCAAGCTGAATTACGTATTTTGTAAAATAAATTTAAAAAATGCTTTCTTCTGTTCTGATTTCTCCAGGATTTCAATGGGAGACCACTGGTTTTAGTAAATTGGAAAGGGGGAAAGAGCTTATGCACTTTATCCATACCAGGCATAATTTTGTAAACCTCAGTCATACCCTCTCTTATCCTCCTCCCAAATATTACAACTTTTTCTCATAGGGAAGCTGTCCATCCCCTCCATTTGGTGTCCTACTGCAAACCTTCTCCAGCTCCGCTGTATCCTTTTTGAGATGCAATCACCAGAATTACACACAGTATTACAGATGTAGTCATGGCATTCATTCATATAAGAAAAATATAATATTGACATCTCTATTTTCAATCGTTTCTTATTATCCCTAATATGCTGTTGGCCTTTTTTTTGCAGCAGCAGATGAGCTCTGTGTTAACACCTTCACTGAACTGTTTACTATTATTTCAATGTGCCTTTTCCCTAAAAACTACTTTAACAACAAACTAAGGCCTGAATCAGTGATGGTGAACCTTTTAGGCATAGAGTGCCCAAACCAGAAGGCACGTGAGCATCAGAGTGCCGGGAACCTGATGACAGGGTTGGGTTCCGGCCAGTTGTAACCTCTTCTATAGAAGAGGTTNTTGAACCGCTGAACTGCTGATCTAGCAGTAGCCTGCAGTGCTGCATTTAACCACTGCGCCACCTTGGCTCTTAATGCTCTGCAAGCATTTCTGGCCACCAAGCCCAGGGTTATAATGTACGTATACGCGTTCCACTATGTTAAAGGCACAGCACATTCACTTGCGATTTTGTCGGCGCGCTATTGTCGAAAATCAATTAGCGATTTTGACGGCGCTCATTTGTCCCATCGCGGTTTTTTTTTCTTTGAAAATGTTTCGCTTCTCATCCAAAAAAAGCTTCTTGGCTGAAAAGCGAAATGTTTTCCAAAGGGAGGAGGGACCAGAAAGTCTAGTTGCCTTTTGGAAAAGCCACCTTTTCGCTCCGAGGCTTCACATTTATTATGGAATGGCTGGGCTTGTACTGTGCATTATTGTTGCTGCGTAGAACAACATGGAATCAACCATGGTCTCCTTTGGGGCTCATTGATAGGTATTACAGATAAAATTTCCAAGCTGGTAAAAACTCTGTTAAAGGTGGAGTCCATTAAGTCTCTGGAAGATTTGCAACTCGGGTTTTAGATCCCAGCTGGGGATCAAGTACCCAGCTCGGGATCATGCCCTGCTTGTCATAATTGTAGGGGGTCATGTTTGAAAGAGAATCTCTAAGCTCATATTGGGTTGGACTAGATGACCTACAAAGTCCCTTCCAACTCTGTTAATGTGTTAAACTGAAACATAAATAAGTGGTTGGATTTGTAACAAGACTGAATCACAAACTAGCTAACTCTGCCTCAGCTTATTGCATATTGTGTGAACCAAGACTGTATAATTAGTTTGTAGCTCAGTGACGGATCGTCACACAACTGGTAACCTGGTTTCTTAATTAGCCACTGCTTAGGCTTTATCCAAACACTGCAACTTAGTTGCCAGTTTTAGTGGTTATACCTAACATACTAAATCACAAATCTCATTCAAGTGAGTTGAATGCTAACCAAGCTTACCATGGAATCTGTGTTCAGAAGTGATAAGGCTATATGAGATGTTAGTTAGGATGGGTCTTCTGTAAATCTGTATTTTTTGCAATTCATTTTTTTTTCAATCCCACACCAACCTGTTGTATCTATGTTAGAAACATATAATGCGGAAATGGGTGTTGAATTTGGAAAAAAAATGAAATTGAAAAAAAAGTGGATCCAGGTTCATAGTTTATAGTATACACTGGAAGCAGACTATAACTCATAAAAGCTCATAGTATCATGCATAATCACTTTAAGGTGTCACAAATTAGAAGCAGGCAGAAATTATGAGTTGAGATTTACGGAAGATCAAGTTGAGAAAAAGTGGAGCGGAGCTGTTTCTTTACACCCTTGAACTTTTGGAGATAAAGCTCTAAATGGCCCTCTTTCTTTTAAAAGTAATTACATAGCAAAGCTGTGTCAGATTACTCCATCAACTCAAGTATCCATTGCCTTAGTTGTTGAGAAGGATGTAAAGCCAACAGCTTCCTTTTTTCCCCCCATTCAAGAACTAGTATTCAGATTCTACTGCCCTGGTGGAATCGGGAGGATTAAGGGTGATTAATTAGTGCCAGGATGTGTTCAATGTTACAAACGGCTTTGAGACTTTTTTTTAAATGGGAAGCAGCATATCAACATGTTAATTAAGATCCATAAAATCATTGCCCCTCCCAATTTGTTTAAAGTCACCTAATCCCAACAGCTGCTGTTAGAAGTGGTCAATTAATGAAATCGATTACAGAGTCAAGAAGTCAGACTTGATTGGCAGAGCGTCTAAACTTCTGAAGATGTAAGAGAAAATATTTTTCTTATAAATTCTTGGAGGATTTAGAAAAAGGTGGTTTTTCTTCTTCTCACCCCTATTGGGCAGAACGCTAGGTTTCCAATGGAACTGAAGACTAACTACCATTAGAAATTGTGGATAATGTTCATAGCTCAGGTTGTAGATTTAGGCAAAGAGGTGATTTGCTGCTTGACTCCCAGATGTTTCATTAGCAAACTAGGTAACATCTTCAGTGGGGGGGTTGGGATGAAGGGTCTTGTTTGTTTATACAGATATCATATAAAGGAGAATATTTGTCACTCAGGGTTGACATGAAGAGGTCCTTGGTGCTCTCTGAGCTTGGTTGTTTCCTTGGCAGATGTTTCATTTCCCAAACTGGATGTTACCTAGTTTGGGCAATGAAATGTCTGCTAGGAAATAAGCAAGCTTAGAGAGCACCAAGGATTCGTCATTTATATAGTTCCTGGGTAGTTGGTTGATCTTGTAACTGGTTGAATCGCAAGGCCAACCAACCACCCAGGACTTGTATAAAGGAACAAGACACCCGACCCCAAATCCCACTGAAGATGTTACATAGTTTGGTAATGAAACATCCAGGAGCCAAGCAAGCTTGGAGGATAAACCTCTGTCTAAAACTTAACCACCTTTTAAAACTAAAAAGCTTTAAGATTTCCTTCTAGGAAAGAAGCTCCATTGTGTTGGATCAGTTCCTTCCTTTTTTGTGTGTCCCAGCTGTTTTGCTCACTCGCTAGTTGGATTTATTCAATTGATCAGTAAATAAAATATACATCAATCTCCAGTTGATTGGGTTAGCCTAACCCGGTATGTCAAAAATCACATTTTGGCATGGTGTGAATGTGAAAACTTAGTGTTTTGGTATACGGTACTTGGCTACCGGTACTTGGCTACCGTTTTTTAAGGCTGTATAGTGCAGTGGTCTCCAACCTTGGCAACTTTAAGCCTTGGCGGACTTCAACTACCAGAATTCCCCAGCTTTGCTGGCTGAGGAATTCTGGGACTTGAAGTCAGCCAGGCTTAAAGTTGCCATGGTTGGAGATGCTTGGTATAGTGGGTATAAAGCCACATTGTAAAATGAGTCACAGTTCTATGTTTTGTTTCTAAAATTCAGAGGTTTTTAGGAGTGCAGCAAGAAGTGGGGTTTCCCTGCCCCCCCCCCAAGCAGACTGATAATGTTTTAGCTTTTATCATGTTCTCCTGCATATCAGTTATTAAAAAAAAACCCCTCTTTTGTGCTAACAGTCAGGATGCCATCACTGTTCCCCAGCGGTGCCCCAGAGGCTGTGTGAATGTGTATTATGGGAAGTTTTGACATGACTGCAATTTGTTCATAGTTTATGACATCTGTATTGCAAAGCACAGTGTGAAATCCATGCCAGTTTCGCAACAAACTAGCAATGCAGTACAGGTAAGTCCTCAACCTACAACCACAATTGAGCCCAAAATTTATGTTGAAATTTGCTAAGCGAGTTTTGCCCCATTTTACAACTTTTCTCGTCACAGTTGTTAAAGTGAATCACCGTGGTGGTTAAATGAGTAACTTGGTTGTTAAGTGAATCTGATTTCCCCATTGACTTGGCTTGTCAGAAGGACACAAAAGGGGGATTTCATGACCGGAGACGCTCCAACCAACCGTCATAAATATGAATCCGATGCCAAATATCTGTATTTGGATCACATGACCATGGGGATGCCACAATGGTTGGAAGCAGGCCACTTCAGCTGGCTCAGGGTTGACTCAGCCTTCCATCCTTCCGAGGTGGGTAAAATGAGGACCCGGATTGTTGGGGGCGATATGCTGACTCTGTAAACCGCTTAGAGAGGGCTGAAAGCCCTGTGAAGCGGTATGTAAGTCTAACTGCTATTGCTACTGCTAAATATGAAACCTGGTTCATAAGACACTTTCAGTGCTGTTGTAACTTTGAACGGTCACTAAATGGATTACATGTTGTAAGTCGGGGACTACCTGTATAGCAGTGTCATCACATGGTAACACTGCTCTCGGTATCTCAATGGTTATTGTTAAATGTGTATGCTGCTTATTCCACTATCCAAAATGACTCAGGGTGGCTTACAATTAAACTCCCCAAAGATTATT